AGGGTGATTTTGGGATGGGATCTGATCCACTCGACTGCAGCTGCAAAAGCAGGACAGAGGCACTGGCCGTGAGGACGGGGCTGTCCTGAGCAGGAGGGACCCCCCAGCCCGTGAGCCCCTCACTCAGCTGGGAGCAGGAGAGACCAGGGACAGGGACAGGGGACAAACAGGGCCAGGGACACAGCCAGGGCACAGCCTGTGACAGCACAAGTGCCCAGGGCCGGGGGTGTCGGTGCCAGCAGAGCAGGAGGCCCCTTCCAGAGCCCTGGGAACAGCCCCAGCCCTACCAGCGCTGTGCTCTGGGTGACACTGTCCCCTCCCTGCAGAGCTGGCCCGGCACTCACACAGACATCCTCTGAGGGTTCGTTTCTGTTTATTCCAGGTTGCTGAGCTGCCCGGGGGACCATGGGGCTCCTTCACTCTCCCGTTTCTGGTGCAGAACCCATTCTCCACATCTTCATTCACTGCACAAGCGACACTTCCCTGCTTGTCACAAGTGGCTTCTTGTGCCCGATGCAAGAGTGTAACCTCAGCTGCTGGTGCATCTTGGGGACGCTCCTTCACAACCCCATGAACGGAAGACAATTCACTCTTCTCCAGCTCACAGCTGAGATCGTTCTTGGCATAAAGGGCAGCTGGCTCGGGGAGCATCAGCAGTGCTGAGAAAGCCTTTTGGAGTTCAGCCTCGGGCACAGTTTTACAATGACGATCGCAGGCTGAAAGGACCGTGATGCGAGATCCCGGCTGGTCCGGGCTGAGGAAGGCGCTGCCGGCTCAGCCCTGCCCTGTCCCTGCTCCCCGCAGATCGGTGGCGACAGAGAAGCGACGCTCCTGTGGCTGTCACCGAGCCCCAAGGAATCCCCTCCGAGGCGGAGCCTCCDCTCAGCAAACGCTGCCAGGACAGAGAGAAAGCTCTCAGCTGCGGGCTCCGATCACAAAGGGAGCGGCTCCACCCCCGCCATTCCCGTTCTGCCCGCGGCACCGGCACAGGAAGGGACAGCAACGATTTTGGGCACAGGTAGAGATGGAATGTATTGATGGTTGGGGTCAGCTACCACAAACAGCAATGAATAATGAGGAAGGCAACGACAGCAGCAGCGCTGGCACCGTAACACAGCTGGGGTCACACACGGCCATGGCACAGCATCACAGAATCCTCGCAGTTGGACGGGACCCACAAGGATCATCCAGTGCAACCCTTTGGGAATGGTCCCTGTGGGGTCACATCCCAACCTCGGCACTATTGGCACTGTGGTCTAACCAAGGTCACATTCCTGTGGCAGCACAGGTGTCCAGGCAATACAGAAACGCTTCTATGAACATACAAATACAGGGTGGGGGTATAAACATGCAGTGCTAGAGACACGGGATGGTTCTGGGATGGTTCCAGAAGGAGAAGGAAACCCTGAGCGCCAGCCCTGGCAGCCACACAGGAGCTTCCATATCATCTCCTCCTCCTAGAGGTTCATCTCCTGCAGAGCGGGCACTGAGGTGACTGAGGTGACAAGAAGCAGCTCTGGAGTTCTCAGGATTGTCCCCGGCATCCCTCGCCCTGGCGGGTCGGAGCCCGGGCACACCGAGCGCTGGCAGCGCCCTTTGTCTGAGAAGGTCTGGTAACAGGGACTTTGTTCCCTTGCAGGGAAGGCGGAACTTGGCTCCGTAGCCCAGGGGCAGTCAGGACCAGGCTGCGCCTCCACTTAAACGCCGCTGTTCCTGCTCCGGACTGCTTTCGGTTGCGAGGGGCTCTGAAGTTCATGCCGTCCCACCCTGTCCGGCACACGAACATCTCCCCCCGCACCACACCAGGGGCTCCCAGCCCGGTCCCGCAGGTCCGGAAACACTCCCAGGGACGGGACAGCCACCCCTGTGCTACCGACAGCAACCGGGACGAGCCAGCGCTGCTCCGGCACCGGCTCCTGCCGAGGCATCAGCGGGAAGGAGACCGCGGGCAGCCGCTCCCGCAGCGGCCTCAGGGCAGGGGGAACACGGGGGGGACACGGGAGAACGAAACAGCYACAACBCTCCCTCCCGCTCCCCCCGCCCGCAGCGAGCCCCGAGCCCCGGCGCAACCGAGCGCTTCTCCCACCTGCGCTGGGGCCGCCTCCGAGCTCCGCCGCCGCCTCACCGAGCTGCAGTCACTGTCGCCGCTCCCGGGGCTCCAGAGACGCTCCGGCAATGGCGACAGCGCCGATCCGAGAAATGCGGAGCGGACCGCCCACCGGGACTCTTTAGGAACCCCGTTCTGACCAATCAGCGCGCGAGAGGGAGTCGGGACGGGAGAAATCGGCCCATGGGAGCACGGGTATCTCCCGCACACAGCACGGAACCGCCCCTCGGTCTTTCCGTTACCCCGAATTCACATTTCCATAAATAGCTCCTGGCGCGGTGCCCGGGCCGGGCAGGAGGCCGAGGAGCCGCCGGGGCAGAGTTCCGAGTGCAGCACTCACTCCTCCCGCAGCCCCGCTGGAGCCCAGGCCGGAGCAGGACAAGGATTCCTCCCCTGAGTGAGAGGCAGTGACAGGGCCCGACTGTGACCCCCATCCCCTGCGGCACGGGGGGTGGAGGGGGGAGGGAATGGGGGATGAAGAGAAGCGTGGGAAGGAAGGGAAGGGTGGGGTGGGGGTGTTTTCTGAGCATTTGATTCACTTCTCCTGCTCCGATCTCTTTGATAATAAATTCAATTAATGCCACTGTTGTTGCATCTGTGGCATAGGAAAAGGCTGCTTTAAGCATTGACATTGTCAGGAGGAAGAAGGATTAAATTTGGGTCTAAAGTCCCATCAATGTTTACCAAGATAAACAAAGGTGCAGGAGCAGATAAGGGTGCAAGAAAGATATCAGTGGTAATAAAATAACAGGAGTTAGAGGTAAATCAGCAGGGGACTCTGCCCCGGGGGAGGGAGGATCTCTCTCGCAGGGGAAGGGGTTCAATTCCTTGTCCTATATTAGGAAGATTGGGAACAAATCCAGGTGCATTTTGTAAAAGGATGGACACTGGGAATGGGAGCATCCTCCGGTAAAACCCAGGACTCCTCCAAGCCCTCTCCTGGCAAGAGCAGAGAAATTGTGAAGGGAATCAGAAGTTTCTGCCCCATCAGAGCTTATGGGAAATGGAAAATTCAGATTTTTAGCAGGTAAAAGAGCTGCTTATTCCATATGAAACACCCTGCAAGGGAAGTTAAGAGATGATCTTGTCACAGCTGTCAGTCAAACGGGCACCTTTTCCATGCAAATAAATTCAAACTGGGGAAATGATGGACAACCCATGGAATCTTGTACATGCTCAGCTCTCCAGAAACATTCCTGGGGAGAACTCACTGGAAAACTTGGAGGTAGAGATCAAGTCTTGTGAAGGGGAAATTCAGATTAAAATCACTGATTATAATACAAATCTATTCGTGAGTTAACATTTGGAACCTTGGATTTTCATGGGACAGGGAATGACTTCCTGATCTGAGCCTATCCCAGAGCAAACCAAGGACACACCAATATTCGTTAAGGAAGGAACCAAAGACCAGAACTTGTAAGAATGAAACAAACTGCACAAAGGACTTGCAAGAGTGAAAAAACATCCCTGAAAGTTCAAAAGGCTTTTGGCTGTCACTAACTGAAAAACGAGGTTCTCTCTACAGTGAAAATTTTAAGAGTTTAATAATTGACAATTGGATACATAAAAAGCAAAAGGGACACGACGTTGGGTGCTTGACAATCTGCCAGAGGCACGCCAGGTATTGACAGAAATCGCTTTAAGTACATTCTGTGTTACATCAGCCTAATGCCTATTCATAGACATTTATGCATATTTAAACTTGTCTGGTAACTGTTTAACCTGGATCCGCCTTTTTACAGCCTAGTTACAGCTCCTGGGGTCATGTTCATGTGGCTCCTATCCCACAACTTCAGCAGATGGTTTTTGTTGATAGAGAAGTGTTTATAACAGGGGCCCCTGATGGGTCACAACACCCCTGAACCTTCCATGCAGATAAGCCTATCCAAAGGTTAGGGGCCTCACCAGCCAGACTCCTTTTGCCACAAACGATGGATGCATTACCAGCTCCTCTGACCAGAGACTTTTTCTAATACGCATATTCTTCCATTCCCCCTTTCGGTCAGGTTCTGTGTTGGTAGCCTTGGGGAAGCTGATCCTTTTCTCATGCATTTCTTTCTCCTTCACTTATCTTTTGGTCAGTGTAATTGCAGCCAGGGCACCATTCATGATCTCAATGAGTCTCCCTGTTACTTCTTGTACAGTTTTGCTATAATGTGTAAAAAAAAAACCCTACATGGAAAGTTTAAATCACAATCTGCAATACTTCAGTTATTGCAAGATAATCAAACGTGTTCTATAACTACATCTGAATTACAAAGAAAATAAGAACAGTAATTATTTCACAGTCATGTTTACATAACTAAACTTCTTCTACAAATAAGACAATATTATACCAGGATACACAAAACATAGCATCTACCTTTAATCTCTGTGAGAACCAACACTACAATATGTGTTTGTCACACACATAGCACTCGTCTTAATATTTGCAGAAGCCAACACTATGTGTTTATAATACGAACAGATTTTTGGGGAGTGGGTTCATGATGCAATGTGACTCTGGGTATAACCCCCCCAATTTTGCCAGGCACAGTAGCAAATGGCAGAAATCGATTAGTACAGGAGTTAATAGCAATTAATAAAATATGGGAGTTAAGCCATCCACACTCCTAACCCCACTAAAAGAGAATTTGGGAGGGATCACTGTAAACATTTCAAGGACACATTTCCTGCACATCTCTGGGCCACTCCAGACACAAACTCTTCCCATCTGAGTGGGAAAATCCACAGCCAGGACTGCATTAGCTCGAGGATTTAAAAACAGCCCCACGGTTTTTGGGACTGCACTGGCAAAGGAATGAGAGCAATGGAAGAGCTTTAATCCCCACGGGGCTCTGCTGATGTGCTGAGAGGCAGCGACACTGAAGAGCAGAGCAGGGACCCGACTGCTGAATGATTGAACTTCTGGGTGTGAAATGGTCACGGGGAATGGAGGGAAAAGGGCTGAGGGGTCAAAATGGCTGGGACATTTGTGAGTTTTGAAATTCTCCCACTCCTCGAGGCTCAGCCCTTCACCCGCTGGGGAGATGGAAAAGCGCCCGGAGCGAGCACTGCCCTGCGCTGGAGAATTCCTGACAGTCCCTGCACTGACTCTGTGCACACACGGGTGTCTGTGCTCTGTGTCTGTGGGCAGAAATGCTGCTCCCTGAGGTGTTTGGGTTCCTCGGATATCTGAGTGAGTCAGGCCGCTAGTAAGATTGAGTTATAAACCGAGATAAAGGCTATCGAGTGTTGTTCCTCTGTTAAGTTGCTAAATTGACTTCACAGTCATAACTCAGGCTAAGTGCTGTCGACATTCCTCTGCTTAACGGTTACATTAAGGTGTAATTGGGGTTAAATGCTCGCAGGTGCTGTCCCTCTCTTAAATTGTTAAGACATCGTTTAAGGCACAAGTTATAAGCATCAGATAAGTGCTGACAGGTTTAAGTGCTGAGCAGCTTTTAGGGCGCATTTCTTTTCATCCTCGTCCTCACTGTGCTCTCATTTCCCCCCACACAGACACCTGCAGAGTTCTCTGCTCCTCTCTGCTTTGATATCCTGTGTTTTGTTTGCTTTTCCTGTTCCTTTTGCCGTCGCTGTGCCCTGACTGAGCTGTGAGGAGCAGGGTGACTGCTGCCAATGAACGCTGTCATGCTGTTGTTTCATATTAAATCTGCTTTTTGCACATCCCAGCGCTGCTGATTTTTAAGCGACCTCAAACACTCGGTTTTAGCAGCCGATTTTCTGGTTCGGGGTAATTTCCTTGTTCCSGGGACYRCCGGGAGCTCGGTGTGAGCTGGAGCTGGGGCTGAGTTCGGGATGCAGCCCCGGCAGGAGCCCAGGCCGGAGCAGGGGATGCCTGAGAGAGGCCAAAACCGCTCTGTCCCTGCAGCAAACGGGAGAGTTCCCGGCTCGGAGCGGCCCCAGTCCCGGGGAGCTCGCTGGGCCAGGAGAGCTCCAAGAGCTCGTTTTGGAGCTTTGTTTATAGAGCCCGAGGGATGGGGTTAAATCACAGCAAAGTTTCATCCTGACCACGGTTTGGGTCGGCTGCCTTCTTTAAAAATGTGAGCACAGGGATTTGGGCCGTGCAGAAAGGAAAAGAAGATGTGTAGGGCTGTTCCTAAGAAAACTTGGAGCTCGTTAGGCAGCAGCATTTCCTGGGAGCAGTCGGGCAGTTTCACAAGGCACACATTGCAGTGATCATATAGAAATAGGAAAGAACACGTGTACAAAAACGGTACCATGAAATCACCGAGCCTCCTTGGGGACTATCAGGGTGTGACGGCGCTGCCTCGCTCCCATTGCCTGATGCTCCCGCCGCGCCTCGTTCTCCGTTCCCTGATTGTTCAAAACGGGTACAGGGATGATGCTGTCACCGCTCCTTCATTATTCGGAATCGCACCGCGCGGATCCCGGAGCATCTCTGGAGCCCCGGGAGCGGCGGCAGCGGCCGGAGCGCGGTGAGGCGGCGGCGGAGCTCGGAGGCGGCCCCAGCGCAGGTGGGAGAAGCGCTCGGTTGTGCCGGGGCTCGGGGCTCGCTGCGGGCGGGGGGAGCGGGAGGGAGGGTTGTGGCTGTTTCGTTCTCTCGTGTCCCCCCCGTGTTCCCCCTGCCCTGAGGCCGCTGCGGGAGTGGCTGCCCGCGGTCTCCTTCCCGCTGATGCCTCGGCAGGAGCCGGTGCCGGAGCAGCGCTGGCTCATCCCGGTTGCTGTCGGTAGGACGGAGGTGGCTTCCATGTCTCCGGGACTGTGCGGGAAAAATTTCATCGCCAGAGGTTTCTGTACCCAAGGGAGACAGAGAAGTTCTGTAAAAGTGACTTTAATCATCCACAAAGGGAGAGGCCATGGAGCGTTTCCCATGGGGTNCGGGCGGGGGCAGCGGGAGGGAGGGTTGTGGCTGTTTCGTTCTCCCGTGTCCCCCCCGTGTTCCCCCTGCCCTGAGGCCGCTGCGGGAGCGGCTGCCCGCGGTCTCCTTCCCGCTGATGCCTCGGCAGGAGCCGGTGCCGGAGCAGCGCTGGCTCGTCCCGGTTGCTGTCGGTAGCACAGGGGTGGCTGTCCCGTCCCCGGGAGTGTTCCCGGAGCTGCGGGACCGGGCT